GGCGTTGTTCTTGCTGTGAGGAAGTCTGGCAGGTGCCGCTAACATATCCTTCCCTTCAAGCATCTGACGTAGTCCAACTTGCGTTTGGGCAAGATTGGATCGTTCACGTCTCCGCATGATCGTGCGGTCGATGATCTTGAGGAGGTTGTTATACCACCGGTCTTCATGATCATATGATAGATGTTCATAGTGAAGACCCAGCTCCATCTTCATGGCCGCAGAATTCTTGATCTTGTTGTACAAGAAATGTCGCAGCACTGTTTCGGACGGAATGTCCTCTGGTCGCATCCGAGAAAGGATTTCCAACCACGTCTGCTTGAATTGATGAAGCTTGTTGTCACCTTGGTACTGGAGCTTGATAAGGTAATCCAGTGACACATGTCCAACCTGTCACGAGTTCTGAAGCTTTCGTACATCATCGCGATGATTTGTCGTCCTTTAATGATCCTACCTTCGAACGACCGGATGTACTCATTTGCCTTACGATTCACCTCCAAATACAGATCGGCTGCTTTGTCACTCCCAGCACGCAGCATGGCAGTCATCGCGACACCAAGCTTGACGTCGATGCTTTTGAACTTCCTGTGACCTGAATCATTCAAAGCTTCGATATCGGACGGAATGCTGGACTCAGCCAAACCATCCACTCCACATGCCTGAAAGATCCGATGCGAATAAAATTACTCCCAACACGAAATTAGCAAAAAAACGGCAGTAATTTTTTTAGGCGCAAAAAAGTTACTCCCAAAAATTTACTAGCCTGCGAGTAAATATTGGGGAGTAAATTTAATGACGTGCGAGTAAATTTGGGGAGTAAATTTACTCCCCAAAATGTGAATAATTTTTTGGTGAATAAATTTACCCCCCCAAAATTACTCCCCAAATTTAGCCACAAAGCGTTGTGGGCCAAATTTTACTTCCGAAAAAGCATGATTTAATCCACAAAAAAAAACATGGTTTTACACTGGAAACCCTCTGAAAACGGCGGGATTTTAAGAGCAAATATATCGAAAACATGTTGCTTTTTGTGGCTCCGACATAAGGGCTGCTTTTCCAAGACCAAATGCAGAGAATCATGCGACAATTTCATGTATACACACCTATATGGTCATGTTCCCAAGCTCTACACCCACCTGTTCGAATCGACTCTGCAGGCTGCCTCCATATACAAATACCAGAAGTTCCTTTCCATCATGAACAACTGTGGATGAAACCACATAAACGAGCGCTTTCCTTCACATCAACCGGACAGCTCTGTAAATGAAACTTCGCTTTTACAGGAGCTAAAGGGCAGTGCACGAGAAGGTTCCTCCGTAGCAAAAATATAAAAGAGCTCCTTCAGCCTTCTTCTGCTGTGAATCACTCTTTATCCGTGTGCAAAAACAAAAGAAGCGCCTTCTTTCCCTGAAAACTGAGGAGAGCTCCTTTTACTTCGAAAGAAGGAGCATCGGAAGGCTCCATCTTCCGAAAACGATGGCAAAATTTATGAAGGTTCCGAAAATCTTCAGGTGTGCCCTCTTTCATACTTGGCGATCAGAGTAACCAAAACCCATGTTGAAATGGCAAGGCTATTCCGTCAAGACTGGAGAAAGCTCCTTCTTATGATAGAGTCTAACGCACAGTCATGGTGTCCCTTGTTCGGGATAGGAGGGGTGTAGAATTTTCATTTGCCTTTTTTTTGCCTTTTTTTTTCCTTTCCTTTGCCCTAGGCTCCTGCGTTCTCCGTATTTGCCCAGGAAAACAACTTTATTCCCTGGTTTTCTCTGTATTTCCACCGCAAAACATCTCTTTTCCCTTTGTTTGCCTAGGAAAACTTCTGTTTCCCTCTGTTTTCACAGGAAAACCCTCTGTCTTCTCTGTATTCTACTAAGCAAAGAAACACTTGGTTTCATTTGCATGTCCACAGGAAAACCTGTATTTTCCTTCTTTTCGGATAGGAGAACTTCTCTTTTATACGACAACCCTCCCATCTAGAATTCGAAATCTAAACCCCAAGACCCTGGGTTCTCCCAAGCGCACCCGCTGCACAGAGGGTCTTGCGACGAGTGATTATTAAGCTATTGGGGATTGGGGTTGGGGTTTGCACTGAGGGTCAGGCCTGAAAGGCCCTCGGCCTATTGTCACGACAGCAGGCATCAGCGTCGTCGTCAAAACTTCCGAAAACCCAAGAGAGAAAGTTTTTCGCACTCAGTGACCGATGCTTTCCGCAAACTTGAGGCATGGTTGTTGAGCGGAAACTCGTGTCTGAGACACATGCATGCGCGAACTGCTTTCCGAAACTTGCGACATGGTGTGAGACGTACAAACTACATCTACACTTGTGAGCTGCCCCGAAGCTCTTCCGCACTTTTGTCCTTTCTAATTTCGAGGTCTTGTTCATTTTTTGTCGGCCCAGTGGCTCTCCTACTCCTACCTGCCCTAAGACTCGCACTGACATGACAGGTCTGGTGTTGTGGCTGTAGATGTCGATGTTGCTGCTGAAACTATTATCAACGATGTTGTCCTTGTCGCTGTCGCTGTGCATATCGTTGTCGCTGTCGGTGGTGCTGTTGTCATTGGTGGTGGTGGTGGTGGTGGTGGTGGTGGTGGTGGTGGTGGTGGTGGTGGTGGTGGTGGTGGTGGTGGTGGTGGTGGTGGTGGTGGTGGCGGTGGTGGCGGTGGTGGTGGTGGGGGTGGTGGTGGTGGTGGTGGTGGTGGTGGTGGTGGTGGCGGTGGCGGTGGTGGGGGTGGGGGTGGTGGGGGTGGTGGTGGTGGTGGTGGTGGTGGTGGTGGGCTTTGTATCCAAACGCTTGATTTGTGAAGGCGCATTTTTGTTAGGGAGCATTGATTGGGTGACCTGCAAACGCCATGAAGTCCAGCGTTGCGGAATCCAACAGCTGAAAAAAAAATTGCGAGAGTTTTGTTCCGCCCGAAGGCGTTGAGAATAGAAGAATTGTCATTGCTTTTTTGGCAATGTTAAACCCAGCGGCTCAAAGCGCAGAAAACGCGTAAAACGCGCTAAACGCGTAAAACGCGCTAAACGCGTAAAATGCGCTGAACGCGTAAAACGCGCTACACGCGTAAAACGCGCAGAACGCGTAAAATACGGAAGACAGTAAGACACGCTACAATCATGGACTTCACAATGTATATATAAATTATATAAATCATATTGACATAAAGTGAAGCCTCGCATCTGAAACCCCAGTACCTGCTGCACAAAAAAGTTCTAGAATTGCTATAAATCCATGAAACCTAAAGCAAAAAAGCCACGAATCGAAGAAGCTCTTAAACCCTAACCCCAAATCTCATCCCTAAACCATAAACCCTACCCGCTACCCAAATCCCTACACACAAAGAAGGCCCTAAACCCTAATCACTATGGTGTGGTGCTACATGTGCCTTTAACCGAGGCCCCAAGGACAAAAAAAAAAAAGGGCAAAGAAAAAAAAAAAAAAAAAAAAAGGTCAAGAAAAATAGGGTCCCCGGATAGGAGGGTGGGAGCTGCAATATCAACTAACGGGAGTCTGTTGCTGCGAAAGGAAACAACGGTCGACTGCCATTGAATGAAATTTTCCGGTGAACACAATTCTGTTTGCTTGTTGATAAATCTAGGCAAAAGTTTCCAGTACTCTTGCTTGGCCCATCTTAGTCCTATTCCTGTATTCCTATTTCATATTGAACATTGTAAAGGAATCCTCTACATCTTGTTATCATGGTAGGACAGTGGAGCCTTTTTATGCTTTCCCTATGAAGCAAACATTTTCATTTACTCTCATTGATGCTGTCATATCCTGGAAAAGATACCGATCCCTGTGTCCATGGCCGTTTGTTTAACCTATTGCTGTCATAGAGCGTAACACAACATAAAGGAGAGTTCTCTTCAACAAGATGGCATTTCAATCCTTGAAGTCTGAAACGAGATCCTTTTATGTTGTGATGCTTTTTACGTGCCCTGAGCCTCGCAAAACATTGCAATTCTCGAGAGATTCCAGTATTTCCAATCCGAAAAAATTCACGAAACAATGTAATGCTTGAAACATCACAAATCAAAAAACAAAATTCCAGCATCTATGGCTGGGTGGGGCTGAACTTCCCGAACTTTGTCGATTGGTGTAGTGTGGACGTTGGATGGGTGGGGGTGGTGCGGGCGGCGCAGGTGGGTGGAGGTGTGCGGGTGTCGGGCGGGGTGCACGTGGTGCGGTGGTGCGGTGGTGCGGTGGTGCGGTGGTGCGGTGGTGCAGTGGTGCGGTGGTGCGGTGGTGCGGTGGTGTGGTGGCGTGGTGGCGTGGTGGCGCGGTGGTGCGGTGGTGCGGTGCAGCGGTGGTGTGGTGGTGTAGTGGCGTGGCGTGGCGTGGTGTGGTGTGGCGTGGCGTGGCGTGGCGTGGCGTGGTGTGGTGTGGTGTGGTGTGGTGTGGTGTGGTGTGGGTCGCTGTTGAGAACTGTTGAGTACACTATTATCACGCCTCGACAGGTATCGCTCACTATTATATGTCACGGGGCTTTGACGCGTCCTCCAAATCACCCTTGGAGATATCGGATATCCTGGAAACGCAAGCACGCTTCTAGCTTTCACACACACTTGTGCCGTCTGAACTAAACAAGGTTCACATGTCGGCCTGTCAGATCCTATACATGCCGGAATGTGGACTGCTACTTGCATCAACACAACTACGTCTTACATCAGCATAATCGACATCATATCTCTCTGTCGCCAAAATGGCGGCATATCGTCGCATTTCAGTCGTCAGTCGTCGAGTCGATATTTTATTTCCGCTTGTTTGTTCCACAAAAGTGAGATATCGCAAGTGTTTTTTGTTTGTTGTCAGCCTGTCGTCGTCCTATCTCTTGTATCCGTGTTGGGTCATGCGCAAGCCTGATCACAATACACAACTACACCAACTCCAAGCCGGAAAGGAGATGTTGGCTGGCAAACCTTAGACCACAAAAGAGAAAGATACCGGCTAGCAAAACCCAAACGCGGAAAGGAGATGTTGGTTGGCAAACCCCAGACAACTGAATTACATGACATCGCCTGGCAAATCGCAAACCCTGACAGTGGATACAACCTCAAACGTGCAGTGAGATATTGTTCGCACGAAAAGGACAAGAAGAAAACATCTTTGCAAACCCAAACCCTGCAAGAAGATATTGTGGCCACTCCCCACCTGCTGACTCTGACAAAAAAAGCTAGTAAGCAAACCCCAGATATACGGCAAAAACATGCTGGCAGGCGGCAGGCAAACCCCAAATATTATTGCGGATCCGAACGTCTTGGCGCAGGCCTGCAGCAGGAAGAGCGCGCACAAGCAAAAAAAGCTGCAGCAGCAGCAGCCGCAGCAGCAGGAGGAAGAGGAGGAGGAGGAAGAGCAGGAGCACGCTTGGGCGTTCAGCTTTGAGTCGCACGCGGCGTATGCGGCGTTTTCCAACTTCGTTCTTGAGTTTCTGTGAATGGTGGCACCGACTTGAAAAGCTCTGCTTGAGCCGAATGCATGATGCCAAGCATTTCGCGTGTGCGAGGACGCACTCACATCATGACACCAAAAAGTTCGACTCCTCCTGGGCGAGTCGGTTGAGGCAGCCACATGCTTTCCCAGCTCGTGGAATGGGACCCGATGGCCTGACACAACTTTGCCATCCTGAGAATTTGGTCCGGATGCTTCAGTCCCAGGCGTATGATCAACATACGCCCGGCGGCTTCGAAGAAGGCCTCTCTCAGTTGACCAAAACTCGCAACTTGTGAATCGCTACTTAGGGGCATCTTGCCTGAGCTGCCACAGCATCGCCCTGCAGCACTGTCGCTTGGAGTCGAAGAGCCTTGCCAGCCTCGGTCCGCGAAACTAGCACGAAGCTGCTCTTGCGGTCTTGCGAGTCTAGCTGGGAAAAATTCGCACTGGAGCAGTAATTTAACGTCGGAGCCGCACCTCGCCACGGCGCAGAGTCAGGAACGTGGACCACGGTGCCACGGACGTGACGGGCACCAAGAGGACTCGGTACAGCACACCCCGTCCAAGACGATCAGAAATCCCAATGAAGCCACTGGAAGACTAGATTCCAAGCAAGCCTGAGGCAGCGACAGGGCACGCGCACACCCATACTTGGCTCCGTCGGGGGGGGTGGCAAAGGCCTCATGAAGGCATCTGATCTTGTGTTTTCATACTACTCCGGCAGCACACCGCCACATTCAGCACATACAGCATACAAAATTAACCTTGCACGTTGCTCATCAGCATTTCCTCGATTTATGTTTCCTTCGAACCTGCACTAAATGGTTCTACTATGTTCTACTCCTGTTGTAAAAACGCCCTCTTTTGATGGCATCTCAGCCGGCACACGGACTCTCTGAGTTTCTTTCAGCATCCCAGATTTGCCGCGTTGACACACTCAAGACCACTGTGGGGCCCGACAGAACTGCTTTGGCTTTGGCGGCTCTGACTGCAGCAGCCTTGGCTGCCGCCACCAAGTGTGCAGGAGGTGGGGCCTCTTGCGGCACCATGACAAACCTGTGTTTCCTTGCCTGTGGCAGACAAGAACTCCTGCAGAACAAGCACTTCAAGCCTGCGGTGGGCGTGGGGCACGCGGAGGCATCACGCATCGTGGCGCAGGAGGCGCAAGCTTCGTAGGTGGCGTAGGAGCTGCTGGGGAATGCCGAGCCTGACACCCATCATGCTTCACACGAGCTACCGCAACACCAGACATTGCGCAAATCAAGTGCCTCTGCATGATGACGCAGGTGCCGTCCACCACCACACAAGTAAACACTTTTCAACATGGCATCAATCGCACCGGTGGTCGCCAGCACGAAAAAATCATATTTGGCCACATTCACGGGAAGCGTTCAACACGTCACAGGGCCTCGTAATGCCTGGCCCACGCCATCTCTGCACGGGTCACTGTTGTGTTGGCACGTCTACGAGCTTCAAGCGGAAAGGAGCAAAAGGAGCAACGCTGGGCCCACTGCCAAGCTCATGTTTACGTCAAACTCTCCTCTCCGCCTCGGAGTCTCCCTGGGCTCCTGGAGGCGCCGGCTCCTCCTCCTGCGATTGAAATCTTCAGCGGAGCCTACCTCTCTAATTTCCCTCTCGAACTGAAGAACTAAATTTCTGTGGCCAGTTTCGGTGCGTTGACTTGAGACGCACTGCTGAAAAGCTCCGGGAGAAGAGGAAAAGCTCTAAAGAACACAAAATGTTCTCCACCAAATTGTCCCTGACTCGCAAATCATGTTGTCTAGGCAGCAAAGCCCGTGCACAAAGAGCCTCGCTCCATGCATCGAACTCTGGGACGGTGCTCGGCCGACAAGCCTCCGAAGTCAAAAGTTAAAGAACTGGAGCAGGTCATCAGACGAAGCCCAGAAAACAAAAAAGCAGCTGGCACCAGCACCGATGCAATGCCTGCGGAACAATCTCTGGTGCCACGCTCGGTCGCGGTGGGAAGACAGCTTGCACCTCTAGCCGAAATCGAACAACATCGCTACACTTATTCTTGTCCATGCCTTGCACTGCAATGGCAATGGGAAGCCATGGCTGGTCATGAACGGGACATTGACCCAGCAGTCTGGTTTATTGAAGCTGTTCCGATCCTCCCTCTTCGACGTTTGTAACCCTGCGACACTTCATGGACGTGTTGTGCTAATTCACATGGGCTGAATGAGTAACTGTTGCTCACGTTCATGCAAGCTTTTGCTGCCAGCTGGGAATAGCTGGGACTGGCAAGGTAAAATTTGAAGGTAAGGTGACACGCACATCCGATCCAGTTGGCTTATGCGGCAACACAAGCACCGTTGCGCACGAACACATGCATTGGATGTTGCCTAGCATGGTTGCTTTGGATTCCGCAAATCCAGCCAGCTAACCATCGACCAGTTGATTGTCAAGACGGGTTGTTGGCTGAGCTGTGACAAAACTACGGTTGCGGGCAGTGTTCACCTAGTTCTGGGGGCAGTGCGACCAACGGACTGACGAGACCAACAAAGGTGTCACTGCGGGACAAGCCCTCGGTGCAGTTTCGCTCGACAAAAGCAACCAATCATCACAATAATTGTCATGCCTCATACCCATCCGTCTTGCAACAAGCGGCAAAACGTGCGCGAAACAGGGACGGGGTCTTTCCAGGCCATGTGTGGTGCAGTACTGCGCCGTACATGAGCATTATGACCGAATCAAGCTTGGCACATGCGATGCAAAAGTCAAGCTAGCGCAGGTGCTTTGTGACCAATGATACCAGGCCAGTCTTTGTCTCCGCTTAGCTTCCACATGGAAACAGTAATCGTGATCTACAGCTGATTCATCACACGTCAGCCGCCACAAGGACTGCGTGCTTACCATTCAATCGCGGCAGTCGCGCCATCAGAGCTCCCTGCAACAACCAGGGAAAGGATCATCACACGGAAGCGTACCCAAAGTACATGCTGAGTTGAAGACCGAGGCCAGCCTGCCATGGGAAGAATGCCAAGGATTTCAATCGCGATATGCTACGGTAAGGACAAGGCCATGCGCCGAAGTGATTGCCGCTCGTGAATGAACTGTTCGGTTTCCCGTCGGAACTGATCCCTTTGTCGACAGCTTGCACATGCCCTTTGAAGCAGGCAGCCCTGCTACTGCAATCTGAGCGCGCGACGAGACATGCTGAAGACCCGCGACTGCTGCTGCACTCCGATTGCCTTGCCCCGGCCTCCAGCAGTCAGAGTCTGAATCACAAACTCGAAACCACGATATGCGAAAAACTCGTCGCTTCTCTGTGAAGAAGGACATACTGAGCAATCCCGACGCTGCCCGCAGAACATCTCGTTCGACTTTCACGAGCATTGCCTCTTGCAAGACATTCACAACATGCTAACAAGCGTCGCTGGCTTCCTGCACATCGGAAAGCCTCGCCATGTAGTTTCGCGCCAAAGTTCGACATGCTGCGAGCAAGCCCGTACTTGGCCCGTTTTTGAAAAGATAACCACAAATGAGCACTGGCTCAGGTAGTCAGTCGAGCCAACAGCAACACCCAAAAGCAAAGTCCCAACTGCACATGCCAAGCTGTTTTGTTTTGCTTTGGCGTGGAAACCAATCCTTCGTTCGAGCAGCGAAAAGCTAAGTGTTGATGCGGCTTCGTCATGAGCCAGGTCCGAGGTGAAACATATGGTGTAGATTCTTCCACGGACCTGTGTAGCTTAGTCTTGTTCCACCAACCTCCTCTTGTTGTTCTCCAACGCCTTTTTGCGTCCGCACACCGTGTCCCTACCGCTGGGCCAGCCAAGCTCGGGGGTGCTCGCACTCTCGAGGTCCAACACGTCACCCGACGGGACCGCGTCGGGGGGGGCTGGCGACGGCTCGCTGCCGGGCAACCGACAGCACACTCCACTGCAGAACCGTGCAGGGGTGGTGGGGCACGTTGGACACGGAGCAGGAGCAGGGTACGGAGGAACCGCTGGCACTTGTCGCTCCAGAATTAAGGAATATGCCGGGAACAAGTACAGACTCAAACGATACGAAAAGCTGCATAAAGCCCATAGGCTACAACACCTGTGGAAATAGCACGAACGAAGAAATAACTGCGCTACAACGCATGTGGAAGTAGCAGAAACAAAGGTATAGCAGTGTGCTCGGGTGCCGCCAGCTGCTCTCGCAGCAGCAAAGAAGCAGCTAAGAAATACCTGGAGAACACAGACTGCGTCTCAGCCTGATGATTGCCCAAGCCTCTCGACCTCGAGGCCTTCCCTTGTCAACCCGAGCACGCCACGGCAGGCCCACGCCAGGGACTCTCTATCAGCCCCCATGACACCACCGCAGCGCCCCGGGCGACCACCCCGGGAGGCCAAAGGAATCAGAATGCAAGGCAATTACGTCTCCAACTCGGCGCGCCGCCGCAGGGCGGCGCGGGCACGGAAAGAGCGCACGACGACACTAAGCTCCTGAAGGAGCGAATCATGCAGAGGGCCTGGCTCGGCACCAGTGCGGGCAGCGACGGCCCCAGCAATTTGGTTGAGGGTGCGGCTGGCGCCAGCTTCCCAATGCCCAGTCGTCTCAACAACCATAGGCGCGAACTGGACACCTTGCGCCTGGCACGCTGCTGCCGTGCCAAGGTGGTCCTCCTTGTGACGGGCATAACTCTCCGCCGCGGCACCGACCTGCATGCTTGCCTGAGCTAGGGTTGCCTGTCGCTGTGGCGTGACGCGAAATCAAATGCAACAGGCGAACCAAGCCAAGCAGGCAAGCACAAGTCGGCGGGGCGACGCCCTCCAGCCCTCATGTCTTCGCGGGACTGCGGCAGCAACAGACCAGGACGCTCACGTTCAGGATGGAGGCCGGCTCGTTGTGTCCAAAGTGAAAACAGCGTCACGGATGGTGTGGTGCCTCAAAGTGCGCTCGCCCCCGCCACGCAGCTGGCACTGGCAGCATGATGGCTGAAGCGGTCAAGCACAGCATCACATTTGGGACACCAAGTGTCTTCGGCCGCATCTGGCAGTCCAAGGCGGAAGCGAAGCTCTGCCACGAAGCTGGCTTTTTCCATTCGTGTGCGACCAGAAGGCAGAGCCGCCAGGAAGGCTCGGGCGCCCAAGCCAGCTTCGGACCTGAGGACCGCTCGCTCCGACGGCGTGGCCGGTGCCAGGGTGTCCCATGCCGCCTGATCCAGGAGCTGTGAAAGCTTCAAGGCAAGGGCGGCGGCAACAGTGAGTCGCTGAGCCGGAGGCAGCTGGGCGTTGAAGGCTTCCAAGGCCGCTAGCACTTCGGGCGAGGCCAGCACGTCCGCAGCATTGAACTGAGGGCCCAGCTCGCGGCATCCATCCAAACTGGCACCAAAAGAAGCCAGGTAGGCCGCAAGGGCATGGCGAGCACAGGACCGAAGCCCCAACCCGGCATGGGCGAACCCACCAGAAGCCTGAGACCACTGTTGCTCTGTCAGATGAAGCCCAGTCATGCCCCCAAAGCAGCCCTTAACCAAGCCGTCAAAAGCTGTGAACGCCGCCGCCTGAGCAACCGGTGGGGCACATCGCATGCTATGGCCTGCTATGGATCATGCGGCAATATCCTGCGCACGCACGGAGAAGGCGCAAACCCACTTGAGGGTCTTCAAACTCAGCCAGCTCTGGACTTGGTGTGGGCGTCGACAAAAGGCTCCGAGCCAACCGGCGCTCCAATGAACTCGAACTGCCGCAAGACTCAGCTAGAGCCATCAGCCCGCCTCAGTAAAGCAGAAGGGGAATGCATCAGGAGAGAAGCCTCCGTCACAGAGCCAACAGCCACCACCTCGCACTTGGAGAGGTTGAGAGTAAGCCCGACTGCGGAGGCCTTGCTTTGCACGAGGGCGAGGCCCGAATCTCCATCGCCAAAGGTTGTATGGCAGCCGAAAACAGCAGCGGCCCCAGAGGGTCGCCCTGTTGAACGCCGGAGCGGGAAAGCACAGCTTGGTCACCAAACTGCAGCCGGGAGTGTGCCCGATAGCACCAGGTTGTCCAGCGAGCGAGTGCAGGGAAGTGCGCGCGGGACTGTGACAAAACAACCTCCCTGCTAATACAATTAAAAGCATTGCTAAAATCAAGTTTAAGAAGCACCTTGTCAAAGGCCGAGGAGTGGCGTCGCATCCAGGCGCGCACAAAGTGGACAGCTTTCTCAGCACCCCCTGGCACTGCCACACCAACTTGAACAGGCCAGGGCATCCTCGCGAACAACGGCCATCAAACATTTGCCTGTCAGTCTCCTCAAGATCTCGCCGACTGCGATTGGTCGCACGCCACCAGCTGGCTTTGGCAACGCGACCCGGCCCGCACCAGCCAGAACCGGTGCTGCCTCGCCCTTGAGCGAGAAGGTTGACGACCACGGCCAGCTGGGCCACCACCTGGTCAGCACTCCCAGCCACACATGCCTAGCGCAAGTGTTGCACACGAAGGCCAGTTGGGCCAGGGTGCGAGATTTTTGTAGGCTACAGTAGCTTAAAGCTAGTTTGTAGCAGTAGCTTGTCGAGAGTAAAGGGGTTTGAGCCAAGTGTGCTTGAGCCGACTAACCGCAGCCCCTTGAGGCACAAGCGAAAGGAAAAAGTGAGCCCCGAAAAGGGCAAAGGATCCGGCCGCCCCGCCTCGGAGTCGGGGAGCCGAACGCCCCCGGTCACGGGGGAAAGGGTGCAGGGAAGCCCGCAAAGGGCAAGCCTGCCAAGGGAGCTGAGCAGTCCGCCAAGGGCAAGCCAGCTCAGACTAACAGAGGCGCCGAAAGGCGCGAAAGAGAGGGCACGGACCCGGTCGTCCGGAGCAAAACCCCGCAGGTGCCGGCCAGAAGGTTGAGAGCCCCAGCAGCGCAGAATCCTCTTTGGGCACCACTGCTGCAGCTTCTTCTGGGAAGAGCCGGCAGAGCGTTGCCCCGCCTGCCTCCGCAAAAGGGGGCCACAGAGCCAGCGAGGAGGCAAAGCCTGAAGCCTCGCCAAAGGCTGCGCCCAAAGCAGCCGAGGCACCGGCAGCAAAGGCTAAGGCGCCGCCGCCTTGCCTGGGACCACCGCCTCCGCTCAGGGAAGCTCCCGAGCAGCTGCTGGACCAGATCAGCCAGGCTATCTTCGATATCTCCAGAGATGAGCCAGCAACAGGCTCAGCAGCTTGTGCAGGGCCGACCCCGTGGTCGAGGCCCTGCGCGGTGGCAAACCTTAGGGGTTTGCTGGAGAGCCAAGCGCAGCAGCTGCAGGCTGCGATTGGCGAACTTGCGGCCCAGAGACAACAACAACAGGGCCTAGCTGCAGCAGCCGCTACGGCGGCACCCGCCCTGCGCCCGCGCAGGCGAGCGGTGGAGGGCACTTGCTCAAGAGCATGCGGCTCCCTACCGCCTTTAAGGGGCGAGACGACTGGGAGCGCTTTGCCTTTCAGGCAGAGTCTTTGCCTGGCGGTCGTAGACACCAGGTACCCAGCAGAACTGGAGGTGGCTCGGAAGTGCAAGGTGCCACTCCAGATGGCCGCCATGACCGAAGAAGTGCGGACCATGAGTGTCCGCCTCTTTGGCATGCTTGGCAGCTGGACCCAGGACTCCGCCACAGCTGTAAAGCTGGCGCGCGGAGTGAAAGGCCAGAATGGGTTCGAGCTCTGGCGTCTCCTCTGGCAGGAGCACAACCCAGAGAACGAGTCCAAGAACCTCACCTGGAGGCGGACCCTGCTGATGCCGAAATTCCCGCCAAAGGAGAGCGACTTCTCCTTGGCTCTGCAGGAATGGGAGGCAGACGTGGACCGCTACGCCTCCGAGTATGGCGAAGGGCGCGCCCTAGCAGATGAAGATCTGCGGGCAGTGCTGGTGACCGAGAGCCCCAATGCTCTTCGGCAGCACCTCGCTATGCACGCGGCGAGTCTTTCGACTTATGCCGAGGGACAAAAAGGGGAACCAGCAAGGAGGCAGAGACGGCAAAGACAGATGCCCCATCTGCTGGAAAACGGGGCACACCGTAAAGGAGTGCTGGTTTAAAACCAAGGGAAAAGGCAAAGGCAACAAGGGCCAGGTGGCCCAAGTGGCCGACGACGCGGCCACGACGTTGTCAACGGCCTCCCTGGCGACTGCGGGCCCCTCCGCGCCCCAAGCTGCATGCGGTTTGCCCCGCCTCATCAGTTCTACAGCCGGGACGGGAAAGAAGTTGAGGAAGAAGCGTCGCTTGCCACGGTGCTGAACCTCACAGACAAGGCCACTGGCTGGACTCTGTCAGTTCCCGTGGCGCACAAAGGGCACAGACACGCGGCTTACGCCGCGGCTTGTGGAGCAGTTCGTGGATCGCCTGGGGTACGACAAGTTTACCCTGCAGGCCGACCAGGAGAATGCCATAGCCTCTGTGGCCCGTGCGGTCCACCGCCGGCTTGGAGCTGCTAGGGTGCGTCTTCGGGACGCCCCTCGCGGGTCGCACCAAAGCCAAGGATCCGTAGAGGGAAGAAACGCACACCTAGCAGGCGAGGTTCGCACTTGGCTCTCGCAGCTAAGAGCGGACTACCCCGCCTTAGAGTGGGACACTTCGTCCAACTTGTTCCCGTGGCTTGTCAGGCACGTACGTGGCTTGGCTGCAGGCCCGTTTTGGGACAAAGTCAACGGACGGGGTGACACCATATCGGGCAGCCACAGGCACCGATTATGGTGGAGCACTTTGCTCTTTTGGCGAAACCGTTTTAGCAAAGCTCCCAAGGCCTGGGAACAAAGCGCAGGTGCGCTGGGTCAAAGGAGTCTGGGCCGGCAAGCTGGAGCGCGACGACTCCCACGTGGTGCTAACCGAAGCTGGCGAGACTCCCGCCTAAAAAACCCAGCACCAAACGGCAGCCTTCCTTAAAGCGTGCGGCCTGCCTTGGAACCCCAGATTTGGCCGCGCAGCGCCAGCAGAGCGCAGCGAGCCGATGATGGTACCAATCCCTCTGGCCGAGGAAGTGGAGCGGCTAGAACCGCCCGGTGAGCCCATGGCTCTTCAACGACGAGCCGCGGCCCGACGACGAGGCCCTCCTAGTGGAAGGGGCCGAACAGGCCAGCAGACTCCCAAACACCACCCCACCGACAAGCTAGCCAACGCAGACGTGCCCCACTACGAGCCGTCAGACGTGGAGGCAGAACCTGCCGCGCGCTGCCGCCATCAGCGGCAAGCCCCGCCCCAGCCGCCAACGACGGCTCAGGCGAAGGGGGGCAGAAGCGCGACTCTGCGGGCCGCACGGAGCCCAAGAAGGCACCGCGGCTAGGGGCGCTCACTGAGCGCGAGGTGTGGCAGCACATCGCTGCCTTAGCCGACCCGCCGCTCACCAACCACCAAGGCGAGCGGGACGCGTGGGTCGGGCAGGTGACGGACCTGCTAGACCGGATGCTGGACCCCAAGCAGGTCGAGCAAGCACGCAAGGAGCAGCTGACAAAGCTGTGGGACCGAGGCGCTTTCACGCCTGTGCTGCGGTCTGAAGTACCGCGCGGGGCGCAGCTGTTCAGGGCAAAGTGGGTTGACAAGTGCGACAAAGGAAGGCACAAGTCAAGGTGTACCTGTGCCGACGTCAAGGCCCGCTACAGCCCAGAACAGGAAGCTGGCTTGGACGTTTTCGTTCCAACGCCAACGCCCGAGAGTCATTCCCTGTTGGAGGTAGCAGCGCTACGCAACGAAGGGTGGGTCACAAGGTCTCTGGATATTGTGGCCGCCTTTCTCATAGGGAAGGACCGCGGCGCGGCGGAAGGCCGCCCGGTCTACATGCACGCGCCTGTGGAGTGGCGCGAGCTCTTTGACCAATGGGTCTTGGAGCAGCCTGCAAAGGACCAGCAGTGGTACCGAGACCACTTCCGGGACTTTACGGCAACCTTTACGGCCGAAGAACGGCCGGGTCCGTCTACAGGGACGAGCTGGAAGAAGTCCTCACCGGCAAGCTGAGCCAGGACTACGACTTCCAGCGAGGCGTGAAGGACCCGTGCGTGTTCCTAGACCGCCGGTCCGGCCTGATCCTTCTCCACCACATCGACGACATCCGTGTCGCAGGCCCCAAGGCCGCAGTGCTGAAGTTCACCGAGGTGGACCTGCCGAAGCACTGTGAGATAACGGTGGGAGAACTGGAGGAGCCGGGCACAGCGGTGGAGGTCCTAGGCAGGACCAAGGTGCGCACTGAGGACTCTATCCTCACGCTGCCCGACAGCAAGCACGCTGAGAATGTGTGCGAGCAGCTGGGCATCGGCCCAAAAGACAAGGGGACCGTGCCTAGCAGACCTCTAGACCTGACCAAGGTCGAGGAGCTCTCTGCGGGTGACGCCGCGAGGTTCCACAGCGCCGTGGGTAGTGCTATCTACCTGTCGGCAGACCGGCGAAACATACAGTTCGCCGTGAAAGAGCTGGCGCGAAGAATGCAGAACCCCAGGGTCTGCGCCGGCGGTTTGGAAGGGTGGTTGTGCTGGACCCCGCATCTAAGAGCACAGCTCTTCTGAACTTGGAGGTCTACTCAGACTCCGACTGGGCAGGGTGCCCAGAAACAAGGAGCACAGACAACATAGTTGCCTGTCTCGGGGGAGCAGTCATCCAGACAAGCTGCCAGACACAGCCCGGCCTCCCAGCAACCTCCAGCGGAGACGCGGAGATCCGGGGAGTGTCGCGAGCAGCCAAGGAGGCCGTCTTCCTACGAGAGCTTGCGGAAAAGGACTTCGCCCTGGCCTGCGGTGTGCCGCGGCTTTGGGCAGATTCCGCAGCTTCGATCGGAGCCGCCAAGCGCATAGGACCAGGGTCTAAGCTTAGACACCTGGAAGTTGCAGAATTCTATGTACAAGGAGCGCTCAGAGCCAAACTTCTCGAACTGAGAAAAGTTAAGGGAACCGAAAATCCGGCAAACTTCGCTACCAAGCACGCGAAGACTGGACCGGAGGTGCGGCAATCCCTGCCCTCCATGGGTATGGTGGACCTCGACGCAGTCGAAGGCGCCACCGAGGCTCTGGCCCAGAAGGGCACGATCAAGTCTATCCAGGCAAGCCCCTGGAAGATGATACCGCCGACCAAGCTTGCGAGCTCGGCGCTCATGGCCACAATCGTGGCACTGCAGGTTCGACCTGCTAAGGCCCAAGGGCACGACTTCGCTGAGCTGGTGCTCGGCTTCGCGGCCCTAGGCTTCCTGGCCTTCCTGTGGATGCTTTGGAGCTTTTTCTCCTGGCTCTGCAGACGCAGACGCGAAAGGCAGGAGCCAGAACCCGAGGACGAGATCGAGCACCACGCTGAGCGTGCCGAGGAGCCGCCGCGTGCAGCTCAAAGGGCCACTGAGATCTGGCTGGGGGCAGAACCCTGTGGCAGCCCCGCGCCTGCAGCACCAAGGGTGCGGCACAGGCGAAGAGGGCCGGAGCCCCTTTCTGGGGACGATGAGCAGCTCTACGAGACAGCCCGTGGTGACAAGATCCACCTGTTCACCAACTGCAGTGGGCTGAGCTCCGTACCCCCGGAGCAGATCCTGATCGGCTATCGTTGCCACTGTGCAGCAGATCTACAGAACTCCGAGTACCTCTGGACCGGGTTCGCCTACCAGGTTGCCACCGGCCGCGTCGTGCGCCGGTACCATGGCCAGCAGCAAGGTTGCCCATTCATGGAGGGGGCAACCATCAGACACAGGGCGTGTCTCCACTGCCGCAACGGGCACCCAAGCTCGAAGCCCGGCAGTGCGCAGAACAACTCCCGCCGCTGGGTGCCTCCACCCTAGGGGCCCCTAGCGGGTAGCACCGCAGGGCGAGCCTCACGGCTGCCAGCCCTGTGTGCGGGACGCTCCGCCCTACAAGGGGCGTCTCACCCTCCGACTGCGGGATGCCCCGCGGGAGGTGTTTTCTTCTCAAACCCCAACCTCTAAGGGGGGCGCGAGATTTTTGTAGGCTACAGTAGCTTAAAGCTAGTTTGCAGCAGTAGCTTGTAGAGAGTAAAGGGTTTGAGCCAAGTGTGCTTGAGCCGACTAACCGCAGCCCCGTGAGGCACAAGCGAAAGGAAAAAGTGAGCCCAATACGCAGTCCTGCTTCCGCGCACAGGGGCCGTGTCTGGCGGGAACTTTTTTTGTTCCACACCTTTTTCCGTCTGCGGACAGTGGGAGCGCTCCAGTCCTACGTGACTCCTATAGACGTCGGGAAGCCCACACGCCGCCCAGCAGGGCGTAAGTCTCGCGGCGGGGAGGCGGCTGACGGGCACGGCCATCAACAGGTCGCCAAAGGGCGGCTCGGCGCCGTCGCACTCGTCCGCCCCCTCCAGCGGCAACTCGAGCAAGGAGTGGGCCAGCGCTCGTTGGGCCGCTACCGCCAGCATGCCCGTCCAACGGTGCAACGATGCACGTTGTACGGCCGGGCGTAACCTTGCTGGCGACTGACGGGCGCGAGCTTTGGCAAGTTGTCGCAAGAAGGCAGCAGCTTCTCGGCTGAACCTGCCGCCAACGTCCAGGCCTAGCACCACAAGCTTGCAACGGCGAGCGACTGCAAGTTCAGGGTAAGTGCGCAGGCGCTTGCGTCTCGCCGCTTGTTCAAGCGCCGTGCCTGGGACACGATCGGCGTGCGGCTGCACATCACCCGCCCGCGTGACTGGTGACACCAAAGTGGTGTCGACAGCCGCCTGCGCGCCCTGCCACAGGGGTAAACCATTTGCTACGACCTCGATGCGTCGGCCATCGGTCAAGGGCACATCAACTTTCATGTCCCGTAGGAGGACATTGGCGGAGCCGCCGCGGCCCACTTGGACGCATCCGCCTGCGCGAATCTTTTCTCTGACCTTGAATCGGCTTCGCGAGCGTTGATGTTGTCCCAAGCAGGCCCCGGTGGCTCACGTGCCCTCACCGCGTTGCCCACGGCTCCAGATTTTCAGACTTTCGAGTTTTTGCTTTCGCATGCTGTTGCTCAGAAGGTTGCGGCTACCCGGGCCTATCGGGCCCCGCCGATGCCGTTGCGGAGGTGACCTCGACGCTCTCGGCAGCTTGCCCGACCGCCGGTGTGCTTGGAAAGCGTGGGGCAGCCTTGGAAAGGGCGACGGCGCGCGAAGCGGGAGCGCGGGTGGCCGTTGCCACCCTCGCAGCGGCTCTCCAGGGGTGCGTTCAACCATCGCAGGGGGCGGGCGGCCACCCGCAGCAAGCTTGTCCCACGGCGGCAGCGCGAAACCTGCATCCTGTAGCTGCGTCGCAGCGGTCGCTAGTTCGACCAGGCTTCGCGCTGCCACGTCGGTCCCGCCACCGTTGAGTGACTGCACATGGCGGATAATCTCCGCCACAACTCTCGGGTGACGCTGTCGTAGGATGGGCAAGGTGTCTGCCCAGGACGCCCGTAAGCTGCACTGCGGCCTTCGGTGGCCCGGCGCAGTCCTAAGCCCCCGAGCTTCAGGGGTAGTGCCGCGCGTTTGCAACCAAGTTCGTCAATGCGGACCGGGGCATCGTTGGCCAGGAGGTCGGCCAGGCAGCGTGCGACTCCTTCGTCGTGGCACCGTGCGAACTCGTCCGTCAGAAAAGGTGCCAAGGACCGTAGGAGATAGTTACAACGTGGCGCGGCACACATAAGTAAAAGCAACCATGCCGACTGAAGGTCTGGCAAGCTTGGGATTCTGTCCAGCAGACGGCGGTGGTTGAGCGCTTTCGTCCGCAGAGCCTCCTTTTTGAAGGCTTCGCTTCCAAACGGCGTGCCCAGTACGAGGAAGCCTTGTTGTTCAGGTGGAAGAAAGTGGTCACCGACCCAGCGCTGTAGGGAGAACTTCAGCGAGGCCTGGGGCTTGCTCGCCTGTAAAGTTCCAAACGCGCGTCTCGCCCAGATGCACATCGATGTTGGCGTGACGCTTGAGCTGCGTGCGCAAGGTGACACAGGCCGCGCAAGCGTCCGCCGGGTCGCACGACACATACTTATCAACCAAGAAGGCGTAAGAGTTCTGCACACGGCCCGAGCTCGGCGTGCGCCGCCAGAAGGGAGGGCGGATGCCCACGGCGAATAAGCCCGGCATCAAAGGGTCACCTTGGCTCAAGATTCCGGGGGCTCACGCCGAGGTCGTAAAGGTAGTGCGCTCGAAAAATCGTCATGCCGTTGTCTCCGGGTCAGATCTCTTCTCTGAAGGCGCCGCATACGAAGACCAGCTTGAAGGCTGAAAATCCGAAAAAAAACCTGGTAGTACAGCGTGGGAAGGATACCACAAGTACAAGACAGCTACCACGATTCAAGAAGCTCATGATCTTGGCGCTCAGTGGCAGGATTTGAGCTCCGATTTCGAAAAAAAAAATTGATTATTGAAGAGGCTCCTATGGAAGATGGGTCCTTGCAACTTGCGCCGAAGCGGGTGGCACCAGAAGGCACCCCTGACAAAGAAGCCTCAGCTCGATCCAAAATCCAAGCCAAAGATGGAGCAGCTCGGCAGTTGCTTGCAGAATGCCCGGACATCAGCACCAACAGGGTCGAAATGAGTGCAGCCACTTTGGCGGCTTTGCGGGGAATGATGAGGGAAGAACTTGCAGAGTTTGTATCATCAATGTCACGCAAGTGGGATGACACAATAGTCCAGCTGCAGGAGTAACTTCGAGTTGAAAAATCAGCGAGGTTGAAACTTGAAGAACGGGTTTCTCGGTTGGAATCCAATGTGCCGTCCACCACAGAACAAAATGATCTTCAGAAAGCAGGCAGTCATCGGTGGGTTTGGCCAGTTAGATGCAGAAGACGCAGAACATCTCGTGAGCACCACGCTTGCTGATGTAGATGGCTTGCAGGACGTCTATTCCACAAATCCAAATCCAACAGTGCTTTTCGCTCAGTTCGATTCAGCAGCACATATGCACAAGTTCCGACGTCGCGGCAAGATCACCAGCAAGATCAAGAAACTTGCCATCGAGATCGATTCCATAACCCCCAAAGACATGTTGGCAAATTACCGGACACATAAAGTCTTGATGAGGACAGCGCACAAATTTATACATGTGGCCGACGTTGACGTCGACGGGGCTGTTCAGTGGGCCATGCCTTGTCCGCTCAGGGAAGATGTTCGCAAGGCAGTTGATGGTTTGGTTGCAGACTCGGAGTAGGGATATGCTGTCAGCGAAGGACCGAGAGTCGCAGGCGTCCACAATAAGGCAGTGCATCGTAGAGGCCGTCACTCTTCTAAGAATGCAGTCGATGATGTGGACACGCAACCCGTGTACTTGAGCTTGCATGTTGTCACCAAAAATGTGCAAAGTATTCGCGATGAAACTAGTTTTCAAGATTGCTTGGTTGAGCTGGACAAGGGCACGCATGACATTGTTTTGTTGACGGAGACTTGGCGATCTGATCGTGAAGAATTTTTCTGGACACCAGGTCATGGCAAGATGTATTTGAGCGGTGGCCTTGCTCACCGTGGTGTCGGCATTTATGTTTCACGGCAGTTTTCGGCATTCATGGAGAAGCCACGTTTTCATATTTTTTCTCCTCGCTTCTGCATGTTACAGTTTTCACGGCAGGGATGCATGTTCCATGTTTATGCTTGTTAATGATGATGTGGAGCAGGTATATGATATTTTGGACGCGTTGTTATTGCATACCGAAGCAGCTACCGCATTCCCACTTGTAGGTGGTGATTTCAACGCTAACGTCGGTGCACTGGACCCGCATAATTTTCCCAACTTGTGGGTGTTTGGGGAACTGGGAACAGGAACGATAGAGGACGACAACTGGTAAGCCCTCGAGCCACCGTGCTCTCTGTCGACGCTGTTGGAGCTTTTGATCATGTCTCGCGCGGCGCCATGCTGACCGCGCTTCATGCGAGGCCTGAGCTCCAGCCCCTCCTCCCCTTCGCGCGCCAGTTCTACGCTGACCCCCGCACGTACACGTGGTATGACGACGATGGACGTGCTCACGACATCTCCCAAGGAGAGGGCGGCGAACAAGGCGATCCACTGATGCCCGCGCTGTACGCGCTAGCACAACATGAAGCGCTCTATGACCTCCACAGCCAGCTTCAGGACGGGGAGGCCGTGTTCGCGTTCCTCGATGACACATATGTCGTCGACTCGCCTGATCGCGTCCGCACGCTTTACGACGCTCTCGCGGCTGCCCTCTGGGACCGGGCACGCATCCGCCTGCATCACGGCAAAACTCGGATTTGGAATGCCGCCGGGGAGGAGCCCCCTAACATTGGCGACCTTGCAGGACATGAGGAGAGCGTATGGGTCGGCGACTGGACTCTCCCGCCCGAAGCCCAAGGCCTCACAGTGCTCGGCTCCCCGCTCGGGCACGATGCGTTCGTCGCGCGCCAACTTCGGCGTAAGCGCGACGACCAGGACCGGCTCCTCGAACGCATTCCTGCCGTCGATGACTTGCAGGCAGGGTGGCTCCTCCTGCGCTCCTGCGCCGCCACGCGCGCGAACTACCTTTTGCGCATCCTCCCCCCCCACCTCACCGCCGAGTATGCAGCGGAGCATGACGCAGCCGTCGCTCGGTGCCTCACAACGCTGCTGGAACAAGGGGACGCCCCCTGCCACCCAGCAGCCTTGCCACCGCCCAACTCGCCCAGCTGTTCGGGGGGCTCGGTCTCCGCTCCGCCTCCTCCGACCGCTTCGCTGCGCACGGGGCTTTTTGGTGCGACACGATGCCCGTGATCCAAGCCAGAGCCCCCGCAGCAGCCGCCCGTCTCCGCGCCGCCTTGCAAGGCGACGGAGCCTTGCCTTCCACGGCCGCGGCGACGCAAGCCCAAGCACACTTGCGTGACCTTGGGTACGAAGCACCGGAC